TCCACATGAGCGCTCACAGCGGAGAGAAGCCCTTCAGGTGTGATCAGTGCGGGAAGGGTTTCCTTCATTCAGCAAATCTCAAAGCGCACATGAGCAGTCACACCGGAGAGAAGCCGTTCACCTGCGCTCAGTGTGGGAAGAGTTTCACTAACCGAGGAAGCTTCTACACTCACATGAGGAGCCACAGCGGAGAGAAGCCGTACTCCTGCAACCTGTGCGGGAAAACCTGGAATCAGAAAACCAATCTGAAGATCCACATGAGGGTCCACACGGGAGAGAAGCCCTTCAGGTGCGATCAGTGCGGGAAACGCTTCACTCGAAAGGAGAGCCTTAAGAAGCACACCGGAGCCAACTGCTTCATGTCTCCTGCGTGAACACACGCCACCAGCACATTCTGATATTAATAACGGGTCATCGTGTGTCGACATGAGGAAGACTGGCGCTAATAAAGAAACTGTTTCCGGGTTTATATCGTTTAGGAACTCAGACTGTTTCATATCTGAAATCTATTTGTGTATTGCTGCAGATGTCTGATGGAAGAGCGTGCAGAATCAGTCAAATTGTTTTATACATTAAGTAAACACTTTTGTTCAAAGCTACACATGATTAATTGAAAACAGGTCAAGGTCTCCATTCGACCTCCCACACGATCTTAATCCAGCATCTCTGCCATTCAGCCAAGAACCATAAAGGAGGTTGCACAAGTCTTCACATTGCTTTATGAACATCGCTCAGCAATGTGGACACCTCCAAACGGCATTGAAAGAGTCCGCGTACTGTATTTATAAGGTATAATTCACCCAAAAATGTTATTTCTGTCTTCATGTAATGTCCTATTCGCGCTTGCGTAATCACACGTGAGCTGAATAATTACTACTTTAGTAAACAGATCCTGCATAAGCTCAGATGCACAGCTAATAAAGTTGTAAATAGCCTTCGGTTATGTACAGAAGTGTGTTTTGCATGTATGTTTGTTTTTCTCCAAGTGACGGCAGTGAAAGAGAAATTATTTATTTAAATTATTACATTATTTAAATGATCATAAGGCACTTTACAGTTATGATTACGACAAGCATTTGACACACTTTTTCTTTCCTAGCGAACGGTGTTGAGCGTAAAAATCAATGTTTAACAGCGTCAGTTTAATCTGATAATGACAAATGTCTCATTTTACCAGTGGAACAATGGTCTGATAATGTTGTCAGAGCCCGTGTACATGGACACCAATACTCCGATTTTAATACGATTAAGACAATACTCTGATTAACAGTCCACCATGTAAACAGGGATTTTTGACTACCTTAATCTGACTAAAGTCATAACGGATCTAAGCAGAAGTCAGATTAAGACGTGGACTATGCTTGCAGACATTCCTACATGCGTTTAAGTTCATGTCATGTAACATTTCGACACTCAAGTATAAACAAAACATCATCACACACACGTCAAGCTCATCAGCGAGCATCAACATTCAATTCCTGAATGACAGTGCGTGTGGTCGAGCAGAATAAGAAAATGTTAAACAGTTGTGTTTTTCATTTTTATTTTAAAAATTAATTGTTTTCTACCGAGATCCAAATCTTACTATTCACAAACTGATTCACAGAGCCGAGCAGACTCGTTTGTAAACAGCACCGTCATGAGGCCTGCGCACGTTTTACCGCTCATCCAACGCATTCGGTAAGTGTTGATGTGAAATTAGGTCAGTTATGTGATTGTATGCGTATGATCACTGTATGTCATTTGAAAGTGTTCACCACATAACACGGTCTGAGGTGCATTTGTCAGGCTGTTTGTGGTTAACTGAGTGTTAGCGTGTCATTTTTAAACTATAAATGAACGGACGCCGGTGCCTGTAGTCCTAAGCTGGAGACTTTAGAGACGCGGGATGTTTTGAGCTTCGTTACGGAATAAAAAAGGTCATTATGTCCAAACTATTTTACTCTGTGTCAACTAACTTGCCACAACATTCAAGTGAAGTGACGACTGACGGATAAAGTAAGGTAAGCTTTGTCCTTCACGTACATTAAGCATAATGGCCGCTGTCGCCTGATGAATTATTTCATTGAAATTACGAGAAAAGCACTGTAGATTAACCACCATGTGTTCGTGACCGTGAATAATTTAAACTTTTATAGTCTTTAGCCTTATTGTAGTGATGTTCATCAAATGCTTAAACATTGATATTTTCTGGTTAATCTGGCCTGCTACATGCACAAGATGTAGATGTATAATGTTCTGTTTAATGGCCATGACATTTTCTGTGCATTTACTCATTTAATTTCACCACATAAACCATTTAAAATGTGCAGTCCTGCTATATACAGAGCCAAACATGATAGAAAAGATAATGAAGAGTCTTTGTCTGGCTCCAGTGTTTGAACTCACTCAAATCAGTCAACATGTCTGCTTTAGGATCCTTTGAGCAGTTTCTGGAAGCAGTGGAGAAACCAGAGCAACATCAGGAGTGGCGTTTTGTAACTGCGCTAGGGTGCATCAAGGGAAGTGCAAGAGATCAAATGAAGGCTTTTATTTATTTATTTTTACTAAATAGCCTTATTGTGTTAACATGGCTGTTGAATATCGTGATATTTCTACCAGTAAAGGAAGAAACTAACCTCTCCAATGAAATGGACATTTGATCTATTAAGTACTTGTCAAAGCCATTAGATGATTAAATGTATGAGTTATAAAGATATCATTGGCATGACCACTTCAGCATCATAATCATCATCTACAGTAAACTGTATAAAACAGTTAGCCTGATAGGAGATATTAATCTGCATACTCTGATTGTAAATTACCACTCTAAATCAGCTGTACTTCTCATAAACGGTAACCCCACAGAATTATTTTTTGATCAGTAAAGACAGTTTATTTGCTCAACACTTATTCTACACAATATACCGATTAAAATGCAGAAAAAATTAAACCAAAACATTAAAAAACGGCCAAGATATAAAGGATTAAACCTGACCGAAAGCACACTCAGCTGAGGACACACAGGATTGGTCTAAAAACACGAATACTAATGAGTCATTTGCATATGGTCTATTCTCTAATAAAACACGATTTTAAAGGGCTTCATAAGCTTAAATATGATAATCAAAGTATGGGAAAACAACCTAGACATCAGATAATCAAATTCTGAATAAAAATATACAAACAAGAACAAAGAAAAATACAAACAAACAAATGGTCATCACCATTGCCGAAATGCTGTGTCTCAAAACCTGGTCAATGGATCAGGATCTCCTGTTCTTCAGGGTAATGCTCCCAACGGTTATCCTTGGTAAGGATGATGTCTGCTTGGTTCTTGCATTGCCTTAGGGGAGATGTTTGGTAGAAGATTGATATATCTATAGAGATATATCCGCCAGACTGAACCTCGACCTGACCTCTTAATATTTTTCAACTTTAGTAAATAGTGGGAGGTCAGGAATATCTCTCTGAATACTTCTAGTCACACATGAATGAGTTCTTTGGTCATATTGGACTTATGGAACTCCTTGTATGTTGACTAGAAGTATTCGGGAGCAAATCAGCAGGGAGTGAGGAGAAGGCAATGATCAGTTCATGGCCAACTTTTACTCCTGAATCTACCTGTTAGATTCAGCTGATTTGGGCAAGGGCTCTCCTGTTCCCTGGAGATATCTGGGGTCCTGGGGAGCCTGGTCTCTGGATTAGCCAGAGTAGGCCTCATAGAGAAACATCTTCAGACTCTTCTCGGGTGGCCTGGGCAACCTTGCGGTGTTAACAAAAGGTCACTTGGGGGAGTGGTAAGTATTCAGCCCCCCTGGGTCCACTTGGACAGCACGCAGGGAAGGTGGTCTTGGGTGAATGGCCTTAAATGAAGCCCAGTCTTCTACTGGTGATTAGCACCTCCACACAACAGCACATTGTGCATCAACACCACCTACACCAGTCATTCAAGAACTTCTCAAAAAGTCAAATCAAACATGAGATCTACTGAAGATTTGTAACCCCAGAATTTACTAGGATTAAGGTTGAGGAGTAAGATTAGTACTTCCATAGAAACACTTTAAAACACCAAATCTCAAATTATAACCTTTAAAACTTTTCAGAATGACCAGATTTTCCCTCTTTAAGATCCATTATTTCCATGAAAAGATTTAATATAAATTCATAATTCAAATTTGTTTATAAACTCCATGGGAAGATTTAAAATATTAATTCTTCTAAAACTTGTAACCCAGAACTTTTCAGAAAAAACCCTACATGCTTCTCCAGAACATCTGTAGTGTATATGGATGTTTCAAAAATAAGATCTTCTGTAACTCCATCTAACCTCCGAACCTCTCAGTGAAAGTAACCACACTTATCTCTTACAATCTCAATTTCATGGGAATATTGGTACCTCTTCACCTATAAATATTTCAACTTTACCGGTTCCAGTTTCCTCTTCAAAAATCTCAAATTTATATGAAAACATCTCAGGTATCAAGAATTCCTTTTGGCAGTGAGAATCCTTTCAAAAACAAAAGCGCTCACTGTAAGGCTCTCACTTAAGCAATGAAAATCACAGTTTGGTTCTATTGTGAATTGTTTTTTTCTCTTCACATAGTGTGATTGTAGAAGTTCACAACTACACAATGGCGTAGACAGTACACCTATTTCCAAAATGTATTTGTCAGACGGTACTTGTCATTTGCAGTGGTCTCATAATAAAGTTACCCCTTTGGGAGATACTTCTGATGACTGGTTTAAAATCTGTCCAGAACCCTAACTCAATATAATTTGCCCAGCAGCTGCTTTGAGGTTTATTCACAATAAATCGCCTCTTTGGGCAGCTCAGTGCTCCGGGCATATGGGTTACCTTGGACATCTCCCAATGACCCATTCACTCATTACATAAATGAATTCTTCCTTCTGTGGAATCTCCTTTATCTGCTTCATTTTCTTGAACATTCATACAAACTTCTATTACAACTGTTCGGGCTAAGGATCTTTGAGGATGTGCATGCTTTGTTTCACATCAGGTATGAGGTTTAAGTCAGCTCAGTTTTCAGAGATTAATTTTATTGTTTAATTTTCACTGCTGAAGGTCAAAACAATAAAGAAAAAAATCCATCCATGCTCAACTACAAGCCCCAAACCAAGCGTGCCAGTTTGCCAACCGACCAAAGTAAAGGGGAAAAATAACCTCAAACCACGCTCAGTTGGGCATGACCATTTCTCCTCTGGCCAAACTTCCTGTACAGAGCTGCAGTCTAGACACCGGAGACTGGAGAATGGTGGACATCCATTGTGGAGAAGCTGCAGATGGGAGAGGTCACCGGCTGGTGTACAGACTGACCCTTCAGGATCAATATGTAGACTCGTGGGTCACTTTAGGGTCTTAAAAGAATCAATCTCATGCTCTATAATACACCAGGAGCTCCCTCAAATACTGGGCAGCTAAGGCATTGAGGGCTTTGTAGGTAAACAATAACATTGTAAATTAAATATTTAATAGGGAGTCAGTGCAATGATGAAAGAACTGGAGTAATGTGATTTCTTGGTTCTAGAAAGCACTCTAGCAGCTACATTTTGAACCAGCTGCAGTTTGTTAGTGAGGCCAGCAGGGCAACCGCCTAGTAACTCATTACAGTAGTCTAACTGAGAGGTCATGAAAGCATGAATAAGCTTTTCTGCATCAGTTATTGATAGCCTGTCATTTTGGCAACATTACGATGAAGAAATTGAGTTTTACAGATGCTTCATCTGGCCTTACACAGGTTGCTGTCAGACATGGCCCCCAAATTACTGACTGAAGATGAGGACTAGGTTACGGCACACTTGTCAGCTCTACAAAGCTGACCAATCAGAGCTTGCTCTATTCATTGAGGTGTGCATCAGTGTCTGACTGCCACAGCAAGGGCTATGTGACCATGCACAGGTTGTGCTGAAGCATACTTGTGTGCTCTATGCAGAAGTATAAATGCGT